AAGGCCAAGGACAACCAAAAGCACACAAGTTGTGTGAATCCCTTCAGCACACAACTTTGCCATTTCCTCACCTGTTTTACTCCCTCCTCTCCCTCTCTCTATCTCTCTCCTCCCACTCTGGGTGTGATGGCTGATATTAAAGGTTATGTGAAAAATACAACGGTCCTAAAAAATACAAATGCCTGAGAAATACTCTCCTACTCTTTGCATCAGCACAGGGACAAATGGTTTTATTGTGTGTGTGTGTTTGGGTGTATATGGACCCTTCAAAGTCATGGTGATTGGTACTTTGTATGTGACTATTCTATGTGTATAACCTTGCATTTACTATGGTGTCACGTAAAGGGACAGTCGCCAGTTGACCTCTCCATGACGAGGGAATTCGTCATCATCTGTGAAACTACTGCTTCAAAAGGAAGTTCACCCCGTCACACAATGTGTTGACCTCGCAAACGCTAAACATGTACACCCACACATGGTTGGCAATAAAATGTTTCTCCTCGGGTCTCTCTGCAAATTCATTTCATTGAACATTACATTTTTTGAAGATTTTTTAATAATACCTTTTACTTGATTATGTCTGTGAGGCATTTATATATATATGCATGTATGTATATATATATATATATATATATATATATATATATATATACATACATAGATATAAACATATATACATATAAACATACATACATATATACATACATACATATACATACATATATATATATATATATATATATATACACATACATAATATATATATATATATATATACACATATTATATATATATATATATATATATATATATACACATATTATATATATATATATATATACACATATTATATATATATATATATATATATATATATATATATATATATATACATATTATAAGGTTTTGTTATTTAGTTTATTCAGGTCAACACATGTACCCAAATAATGAGTGACACCAAACAAATGTGTGTCTTCTGCTCACAGATTAATTGAATTACGGAATCATAAGAATATACCTCATTAAATAGACAAGCAATAGTGCATTTTGTGTGTGTTTGTCATTATCATTGTGCTGGAAGTTGTTCATTTTTCTCTGGGAAAACATTTGATTTGGTTTCAATGAAGCCAATTTCAATTGGCAGAGAAGAACAAACAGATGAGGGAAACTATTGTTTTTCTATATTCATGAGTTTTTGACTAATTTTCCAGCTTTTATGTTTTTAATTATTGATTTTGGTAATAATAACAAAATAATAACTAATGGTTTATATTCTGTGCCAATATTAGTGTGTGTTTGTGGTCCTTAGGTTGTGTGTCATCTTGCCCATTGAATACGGACCCTTTTTCTTTTCAAAATGTTGCATGTAAAATTATACTTTTTACCACCTCAGAGCCCTGCCAGGTTTGGTAGAGACTTTTTTTTGTATCACAACTCTACTGCAGTCTAAAACAAAAGAGGTAGTCGATAAAAAATAAATACAGAAGCATTGTTGTCCTACGAATAAACCTTTTGGGACACCAATGAATACCGTTTGGTCCATCAGTCTATAGACACTATGGCTGATAAGCAAAACCTGAAATAAATAAATGAAATATAAAATAAATTGTGAATAAAAAAGCTTTTAGCTGCTCAAAGGATTGAAGATTTTTAGACTGCGATGACAGTTTGGAAATGGACCTATTATGATTTAACAATGCACTGTCAACAGCCTCCAGCATGGTGTGACAAAACCCTCAATAAAAGGGCTGCCTATTGATGCTAAAGAAATATTAAATTCAATATGTCATTGGAGGTGCAAGCATCTCCTGCTTGAGGCACAAGATTTCTCAGACAAGCCAGGCAGTCTCTCAGTAGCAGTGAGCATTTTTAAATGAAAGAGCAGAGTTGAAATAGTTCCTGGAGGATTATGGTTGTGCTATTCAAAGAGAAACATTTGAAAATCTCAAACAAGAATTCACTGAAATACAATCTGATGAAGCTTCTAAGGTACAAACTGCAACCATCATGAATCTTTGACAATGTTAGATGGAGGCGCCACATATTTGATTATGTCTTCTAATTCAGGGTTTTTTTTTGTATCGGATGATTTATATTATTAATGTAAATGATATAGACATTCAGTATATATTATATACACACACACACATGAGACATTGTTTGGAAAAGAAGCAAGAGGAGGTGAGACAGACACTTCCCCCCCGTAGCCTGAGACACACACATGTGGACCCACAACAATCACTCAAGGCTGAGCTAGTTCACAAGGAAGCTAAAAAAGTCAAATATCTGCTGACTATTAAACAGGACAAGTCTCAACATAAAGACCCTTTTTTTATATACATATATGTATATATACACACACGCATACAAAATGAAATATACAAAGATAAACCATGCTGTATTTATGTTATCCTTTGCTTACCCTGAAGTCCAGGTGGTTGAAATCCATTCAAGTCAGTTTGTAAGTTTTATTTATGAATAATCTAAGGTCTATTACCAATTATTGCTCAATTACAAATACATTTCAACATAATTACCAGAGTGGGCTTTTTAATTTGAGAAAAGCTCTGCTTAAATGTGTAATACAACCTATGATCTCTTTTCAAAAACTAATTCAACAAGGTGAAAGAGAGGGAAGCAGATGATGAGGAGATGGAGAGACGGAGGACAAAGAACAGCCTAGACCAATAGATTCAAGGGTGGAGCTTTACAATGAATAGAGAGATTTACCCAGTTTGTTGATGAATTTCCATTGTGTTCTAGGCTTTGCCAATACTGTTCGAAAGGACCATTCATGCTAGTGATGCATACGGGATTGAAAATGAAACAAAAAAAGCTTTGTGAGGGCACAGAGGAAGAAAGAGTGAGAGCTGTCATGTTCCACCAGAATAGGGCTTCTGTGTTGGACAGCGATGGTAAAAAAAAAAAACTTCTGATTGATTGTATCGTCATGGTCTTCGTGATTTTGTAAGTGGGAGTGTGACTGACAGAGGAAGGAATATAGAGGCATTGCAGGGAATGCAGGTAAGATGATTGTATACCTTCCTGCCTCTGTAAGTCCTGCATACAGGCGAAATACAGGCATTTTACATCTCTGCATATGTTCATGTATAAAACGAGACGTGAAATGAATCTCAAGATCCATGTTCACAAATAAAATAAAGGAATAAAAACAAGTAAGGAAGACATTACTTGTTGTATCATACCAGTTAACGAACACAAAGACGTGGCCAACCAAACTCACCTTGTTTGGGTTTTCTCCCTGAGGAGAGGAGGCCATTCAGCTCCGTTCTAGTTGGTGTGACATTCATGCTTTATCTTCTCTTAAACGTTTGCATTTCCCCAGCGGACATGTTCCCGTCGTCCATTTCCTCCTCCGCTCTCCTCATTGTCTTTTCCCAATTCATCTCCTCTTTCCCCCTCTCACGATATCAGTCTTTGCAAATTTCAAATTGATATATTCATCGAAGTCATTCTGTATGTTTCCACTCAACCTGCTACAATACCCAAAAGCCTCTCTGCGCTCGGAGCCGGCATGCGAGCAGCTGTTGCATTTGCTGTGCTACCTCCACCCTCACCCTCCTAAGCGCAGATTGGACATGGTACAGCAGCTGCCTCTTTGCTCTGTAAAAGCCCTTACTGCCATCCTGATGCCCCGCATGGCGGTGTGAAAGGAATTTAATCTTACCATATAAGTCTGATCCAACAATCTCTGAAGCATTCCCTCGCGTGGAACCTGTAAAATGCGACACAGCTGATCGCCAACCGGGACAAAGCCATTTTTATAGCAGCGCTGCGGTCAGATTTCAGAAATGAAACGATGCAAAGCACACGACCATAAATGCGTTGACTGGACTCACACTAATGCAGATTTTTGTTTTTGATGAAACTGTAAAAGGGCCTACAGACCTTGTAAAAGCAGCGGTGCACAGAGTTTTTATATGCAGTAATGTCAAGATGGGTTTTGTTACATTTTTGTTTGTTCTTCTTTGACTCAAAATGAAGCAATTAGGCTGGTGGAACGTTTGGGAAGAAACCGATTAATCTACTTACTATTAATGTTGATATATTGTAGGGTTGATAAATAAGGAAGCAGAAGAGAGCAGAGATAGATCTTATAGACAGGACTTTACAGTGGTTGAAGCAGACCTTAGTGAAAACGTGATTTTCATATCTCATCGATTTTAAATATTGTATATAATATTACAATATTACACTGCTCATAAAAAATCTCTTTGAATAAGCTCTGGCAATTGTCTAGTTCCTCAAAAGCTCTGGACACGTCTTAAATTGTCTAATTGTAAGTAACTAAATAGCGTAGATGCCTTAAGTACTGACGTTGATGATGTTATTTGGTCTTAGAAAAAGGGTTAAGCAGATTAAACGTGAGGAACAATGTGAATTGTGTACCTCTGTGAATGTAAAACACAAATAACAAAACAGTCACTTTTGATGGGTAACTACACGAGTGACAGTTGGCCTATGCAGTGTTCTTTATTCTGGTTTTGACATTTTCACTGCCTTGTATTTACAACAGCACTATTCCTAAAGTTATTAAACTTTTTTGTGATATAGAATAAGATACATTAATATACGTGTAAAATGTGTCTGTCTGGTTGAAACATGCGGGAAGTCAAGCCACAACTTTTTCTATAACGGATTCCAAGTTTCCTCAACATCCAACCACAGCGATAACTGTATGAATAACTCATTCATCTGTCATTATTTATTTACTTTCCACTGTTCTCTGCCTCGCCTGTCTATACTACTACATATAATATAATGATACCCATTAGGCAGTAGATCTTTTATAATTTGTGAACATGAATAATAAAAAGAACTCATCAGCAAATCTGGGAATTTTCAGGCTCTGTGGAGATGAGGAAACTATATGTGGGTAAAAACTAATTTCCATTGTTCACGGTAGACTTGCGATTTATTTAATGAATAATTCTTTTGACTGTCTCTCTCTCATTGTGTGTGTGTGTCTGTATCTTTAGGAGGGAATGGGGAATCTGCGGGTGACCAAGGAAGGTGTCCGATTGGAGGGAGTGTCCGAGTTCTTATCGCCTCTATACGTCAAAGAGATCCAGTCTCGCAGGGTAAGAAGTGTGTATATGTATCTGTGTGTGTGTGTGTGTGTGTGTGTGTTTATGCACCCGTTCTAAGCCCTATAATGGGCACAAATCAGACAAATAGCAGACAAGATCCCACACACTTCATCCTAAACAGAATCATCATCGATCCTGTCAGCGGAGGCAACATGGACACTATGTCACTCTATATGGGACAATCATTTGACAATGTGTGTGTGTGTGCACTTGAGTGTGTGTGAGCGTTCATATGAATAGTAAGCAGGCGGAGGATTGACTGTGATAGTGTCACACTGTCTCAAACACATTGGTTCAATGGAGAGATGGAGCGGGACAGAGGGATGAAGGACGGTTAATAGACAGGACATTTAAGAACGACGCTGCACCGAATATAATTTTCTGGACTGATTGTGATCTGCAGATTCCATTGTTCGCCGATTCAGATTTTCTTTCCAGGAACTACAATTCACAGCAAAGCTCTGTTCCTATTAACTGGTTATAATGCCAGTCCTGTGGAGGGTGTGATTGATCTTGATTTACAGCTTAACAAGAGACTTACATGGACACACACTAAGAACCCACTGTAATGATACCATGCAGTTAGCAAAGAAAACGCTGACAAATAAGACCCAAACACACTCACCAAACCTATCGAGGGTCTCTTGGGCCTGGCTAACTAGAGGAGATGAGAGTGCTTTGGCAGGGAGATTGATGGTGGAGTGGAAAATAGTGATACACACAGAAAAGAGAAACCTTCAAAGGCTGGAAGCAATGAGAGGCACTTGGGAATGAATGGAGGCAACAGATGAGAGACAGTGGACATTGGAGGCTTTAGTAAGGACATTTTCAGCATATCTTATTAGTCAAAAAGATGCTGAACACAAAAGAGGGGAGTGGGAGAATAATTGTTTGGTTTTATGAACAAAATAGAAATGAGAAAATTAAAAAAAAATCCCAGTTTTCGATGAAGAGGTTTTCCATAGAGGTTTACTTGGTGAACTTGGGAAGCTAGAACTTAAAGTCACTTTTGGTTGCCGGCCTCAGGGGGCCATGGAGAGCCAATCACGGTCCAGTGCCCAAAGAAGACGCACTGGACACGTTTGACACAGCACAAAGTTGAGATGTACGCCTCAGAGGAAGTGTCTTATTCAGCTTTACAAGAGAAGACTTGTTTATGTATATCTGGTTAATGGACCCTCCGCTTTGTCCCTGAGCTTTTCAATGGGACCCTCAAGGACTCCCACAGTCTGCAGACCTGCATTCATTACTTGTTGCATCTGAACAGCTCAAGACCATTACTGCATTCAAACCCCTGATATATTCCCAAAAAATAACAAATTTAAACAGGAACGTTGTTTTACTTTAAGGGAGCTACTTGGTGTCACCTTTACCTAGGACTGCCAAAGACCTGATTAGGGAAGTGTCATGTTTGGTGTCCTCAATTACAAGAGTATAATGCATTTAAACACAAAAATAATGCCAGCAAAAAGCTCTACACTTAACATTTTAAAACAACCTTTAGTATATAAAGGAATGCAGGAAGCTGAAGATGGCACCCTTCCCCTGCAGCGTATGTCTTATTAAAATGTTTTGCACACACACACATTTGCATTTCACATAATAAGGGCCAGCCCTCTGCATTGCAATGAGAGGAAGGCAAATAGAACATTCTGACTCCCAGGGAGCTAAATACAGAACTCTGCACATAAGCCACACCGACAACAATAATGGCATACTGAGAAATTAGATTGACTGGGTGGGAGGGAAAATGCAGGGTGCAGGAGAGAGAAATGACTCTGGATCTGCGGGTAAGAGAAAGAGGGAGGCTCTGAAGGAACTAAAGGGGTCAGAGTGAGGTAAACAGAGCTGCAGAGGTGCTATTAAAGGCCTGAATACACAATAAGGAGAGCGAGAAGAGAAACAAAAGAAAAAATGAGAAATGAGGAAAAGAAAATGAAAAACTAGCTAGTGGAATGAACTCTGGTTTAACACACCAACATGTGGTGCGGGTTTGGGCATTTGCTCTTCAAATCACTTGAAATTTTAACATGCTGTCCCTAATTTACATTTCTACCAGAAGGGGAAAAAAGTTGAATTGTGCTCGTGTTTTGCTTGTTTTTTGTTAGAAATGTGTGTCCGCTGTGCCTCGTGAGGCTGTTGTTGAAGTTGTGCTTTTCCATCCCCGCGACTACACGTCCTACGCCGTCAATACGTGTCGATCAGGATGGCTGAGACCATAACGGGAACCTGCATGCCTCCGCAAACTGCACCAATGAAGTGATTTTGTACCGTTTTGGCCATATTTACCTCATATGTTTTAGCTGTCAGCTTCCTGTCCTCGCCATCATTGCCCAACACACACAATGCCTGAGAAGAAAAGCAGTTCAAATCCTTTTGGAATGCTTTCGCGTTTGTTTCTTCCCATATTACTTGTAGCTGCCCTGCAGATAAATAGATATCGTGTGAGGTCAATTACATTAACATTGGCAGTAGTTTTTAGCTGAACAAACCAGAATTAATTTTTTAAGCATCTTCTGGGTTTTGTTGCTTGGATTGTTTAATGCTTCTTACCCGCATACTGTAAGATTGTTTGCTTTTCTTCAGTGGCAATGGAAGACACATAAACAGCCTCTCATATTTAGAGAAATGCAGCAAACAGAGCAGTGTATTAAATCTGAAATAGTTTGTTTCACAACCACAGCATGACTGGCTCAATTGCCACATCATCTTGGTGCGCATATACTAGCAGAATTAAGTAGCAGTAGGCGGGTCTGACAAACACAAAAGCAGCAGGCAGAATATCAGCAAAATCAGGCAAACGCACAATACCAGGCGAGCGGGCACAGCTGTAGCATCTAGGAGGCAAGAAGGTGATTGGAAGTAGTGAGGCACCGGGCAGGAAAGGGGAAGCCAGTGGAGGAGTGCAGCGAGGGACTGGATGGGTATTTGGAGGAACCAGTAACATTCTGGTAGACTCAGGACCTGGATGAATGACTGTGTGGCCCAGGATGAAGCTGGTGCGCAGCCTCTGCCAACCTTGGGAGGAACATCACAAGGATCAGGATGCACATGCACAGCACAACCAGGCTTCTGACAGTAGGTGCACTGTAGGACAGATCTACACTAGAGCAAACCCAGTATGCAAGCTGCGGACGGATGCTATCCAAACAAATGTGTGAACAACACAATCAAAAAGGTGTGGCAGCAGACACGACTGGGCAGAAATGTGATTCACCAATGGATCTCACCTTCTGGTTGATCAATAGGCAGTCGATTCTGAATCACACAAGTAGAAAATCTGCATGATGAGCAACAGGCAGTGATGATGTTCCAGGCAGGTGCACAGTGCGGGCTGCAGCACTGGGGCAGCCCGGACCTGGGAAGACACATCCACATCTAATGCATCATATTGCTGATTTGAGTAGTTTATTCTGTCGGGGGGGGCGGTCATAAAGATAGAGAGCTCTCTATGGTTGCTGTGCATGATGTTCACAAAGCGGGACTGTTCTTTCTCCTTCTTATAGTATGTATGCATGATGCATGCCGTCATAGTGTATACGCGGCATGCACCTGGTAGACGATTAGATCGTAAACCGGAGGCAGCGAGATTTTCCTTTAGAGCAGCAGCTTTTGTAGGGGATTTCAAGCTGTGTTGATGTGTTTAAAGAGCACACCATGGATTCATGCTTGCCTCTGTGCCGTGCCCTCCCGCTCTATTCCCATAAAGGCCTGTCTTTAGTGACACACATACACACAAAAGCTGACTGTTGCCACATAAGCCCTAATTGTCCCCGTAGGGACCCCATGATGACCTAGCAGCACCACAGAAGGCTCAAAGAAAACCTCTTTTATTCGGTTCTCTTACTATTCTTCCATTTGTATGATTTTACTTTTCTTTTCTTTATCTATCGGTTTTCACTTTCTATTACATCTGTTCTTCCTCTACCCCCTGTCTATAGCATTTATATTTCTTTCTCTAACATGTCCTTTCTATTTTGTTTTTGTTCTGTCCTTCCCTCTGTCCCCTACAGTGAGACAAGCCCTTTGGGGGCAGTAGACTTCCTGGAGAGGGTTAAAAAATAGAATGAACCTCCTGCACACAGATAGGAGATGTAGGCTACACATGAATCCATGAAAAGGGAGGGAGCTCATATATAAACTAAACGCAAGTGTTAGGTGGCAAAGCTCGGCAAAAGGATCATTTTAACTGGGGAAGAGGGTGATCATAGAAAGGCATAATGAATATAGGAGACATAATGAAAAAAACAAAAAATGAAAAGCAACAGTAACTGAAAAAAGTCCTCTGATCCATATTCTTTACTGCAGCTTCAAGAAAGACTGGAAAATATGGGGGTGGCTGACGGTGCGAGAATGCCATAACTTTATTTTGGCTGTTTGTCAGTTTTAGATGTATTACTCCCTTTGTCTGCCTCATACTTCACTCTCTCCCCTCGAGGGACCTGAGCTAGCCAAAACTTCTCAACTCTGCATCTGTCATTGAATAGCAGAGTTCTAATGGAACATTAGGCTGTTCCCGTGTTGGCAGGCCCTGTGATTTTGACTTTGCAGCATTGTAAACAATCCGGGGTAAATGTGACTGAACGAATGCAGGTACAGTTCAGGTATAATTCCAGGTAGAGTCTGGTTCTGCTTGTGCTTAAATATGGTGCTACCCTGGTTGGCCTGTGCTTGCAACTCTCTCTCAAAAACAATAGCAGGTCATTCTGTTTGTTTGACTTTCTATTCTCTGTTAAAAGGAAAAGATGCCCCACAATCCAACTGTCAAGCGCACTTGATCTTAATTGGATGTCACCTGGGGTGCGAGATGCAAGGCGCTTTCCCTTCGGGATGATGGATTGTCTTTATGCTGTTTTTTTTGTGGTCCCGTCTACAAAAGAGTGGCATGTTTTTTGGTCCACGGTGAATTTCATGTTCTTTTTGGAAATACTTTTAAATGTAATAAATTCCCAAGATGTCTCTCTTGCATACTGTCAACAGGAAGTCCAACC